CCCCAAAACCCCAAAACCCCAAAACCCCAAAACCCCATTGTTTTGAGGGTATTGAAAAATATTACTTTTATAAGATTTTTTAGACAATTTGATTAAGTAATACTTGAATCCTGAGGAGAAAAAATGAAAAATTACAGATAATCCACTTTTGGAGAAGTTAAAAGCCAGAAGAAATGCTTAGGGACCAAAATTCTAAGTTTCCGTCATAAACTTCAAATTATCGAGACAAAAATGAATTTTTTCCCTCAAAAAGCCCAAAACTCCCCTAAACCCCTCAAATTCCCATAAACTCCATCCTCTCCACCGCCACCTCACCAAAACTCCAATCTTTAAAACTGCTTAACAAAACCCAATCTTCTCCTCTACTTCCATTCTTCTATCTCCAAATAGCTCTCTTCTGGTCAAGGCCATCTTCAAGTGCTTGCTTGACTGACTGGAACTTAGCTATAGAGGCACAGGTTAGATCTTTAGGAAGAATAAGGTGGACAAGAAGGTTAAGTACTCTTTTCAAGACAGGTTTTGGAATATTTCACCTTGAAAGTTGTAGCATTGGTGCTGAATGGATCAGAGGGGCTTAGCATGATGTCGTAGGTGACCTTTGAAGGTATAGGGTATATATTAGTGGTCTTTATATCCTCTCAAAGTCTTTTGTTCCAGAAGATTTTTATAGTAGCTTTACAACTTCTACTGCTGAATTACTATTAAAACTATCTTACGCTTTCTCACTGATCTTAAAAGGATACTTGGATTTAATTCTTTTTGCCAGAGATGTGTTCTCAGCTAGAAAATATAGATGTAGGAGATTGTCAAGAATAAAAGAATGAATTAAAATGTTCATTTACAGAAATTAACAGGAAATCATTGAACACTAAAATATATCCAGGAACTCACATTTCGTTCTAACATGCTCTTTATACTTAGGTGGTAGATTGAACTCTACCCTTTCTACCAGATATTCAATATCTTCCTTGGTTAAAGTTGGAAACTCCAAGAAAAGTGTGTATGTATAAACAGGTTTGGTCTTCACGCCTTGATCGTTTGTCATAGCAGGGTAAGCCAGCTTGCAAGTATTCCCATAGACAGCCTTTACATCTAGGGATAAAAGATCCTTATTGATCTCCTTTAGTGCATTTTTCTTCTTCTGATCATACTTATCAGGGTAGAGCTCTTTTATCCTCTTGACTAATTTTGGATCTATAAGGTAAAAATTTAATTAATCGAATTTCATCAGAAAAATTACCTTCCTTAGCTTTATTTAAGTTCATGAAAGATTTTCTTCATAAAGGACATTTATAAACTTTGTTGTAAGCTTTGTATTTTTCAATGCATAGCCTTCAAAATCTGTGGTCACAAGCTAACTTTAGTGGATCAAAGTAAATGTCTCAACAAATAGCACATCTATGCATTAAATCCTTTCTAATCCTTACTCGTGGCATTTCTTGAGTTTTATTCTCCTAAATTTCTTGCTTTTCTTCTCACTACTGGGTGCGACTTTCTCTTCTTCAATGGTTAAAATATTCTTGAGAAGAATATAGCCTGTGTTTGACTTTTCTTCTTCGCTGTCAGTACCTTCAATTTCGAAATAAGATTCCATAATAAAATTTGCAATTTCAATGAATTTTCTCCAATTAGGGGTTTTGGGGTTTTGGGGTTTTGGGG